ACCGCTCTTGACCGCGATGCAGTCATCGCCGGAGACGACGTAACAGTCTTCGATTAGAGTGTTTGTGCAAGAATCTGAGGAAACGTTTACAAGAAATATAAAGATTTTTCGATAGTGAAATCTAGAGTTAACCGATTTGATTAATAACCGAATAATACATTACCGTATCCGGATCGAATTACATATAAAAATTGAATGATAATGATTTATTTGAAATAAAAAAACCAAAAATTTGACCAAATAGAACTTCAATAAAAAAAAATTAGTGAAAAAAAACAAAAAAGTTTTAGAAAAATAAGTATTTTTATCAACAAAAACAAAAACCCATAAGAAGAAAAAAAAAATCATATGGAACTGGAGTCAATATAAAAACTAAATGGTTATAATTTTATTCAGTTTGGTTCAATTTATAAACAAAAAATTGAATTTAAACTGAACCGAATTGAATAAAAAATAAATAAAGAAAACTAAAATTTTTTTAAATAACGAGTATTTTATAAGAATCAAACTGAACTGTATTCAATATAAAACCAAATGATTATAATTTTTCAATAACCGAACCGAAATTGAAAAGGTGACCCTGGTGAAACCATTATTACAAAACGTTATGTATATGTTTAAAATGGATAGATACGTACCTGGATCGATTCCGTCGGTGTTAGGAGAATCGATGGGAGCTAGAATGGTTAGGCCTTTGACGATAACGTTCTTGCAGTAAACGGGATGAACGTTCCATGAAGGTGAATCTATCAATGTAATGTCGGAAATCTGAACGTTGTCGGAGAATAAGACCTCGATCATGTACGGTCTCGTCAATTTGAACTCTCCCTTACGGTACTTGACCCACCAGTACTTGCCTTGCCCATCGATCGTCCCGTTGTTACCTGATCGATAAATAGATCAAGATTATTGGTTAAACCGGTTTGATTAAGTGTAATCAATCAAGTATTATAAACTGTTACCAAAGAATCTATCCGGTATGGTTTTGGAGCTTACCGGTGATAACCACATCGGTTAGGTTTGTACCAAAGATTAGACTGCTGAATCTTGGTCCGGGAGCGTCTCGACCTCTTCCGTACGACGGCAAAGGTGCGACCACTGGCCACTCGGATTCATCCTGAACCAAAGATTCATCGGTTTAAACACGATATTTCAATTAGATTTGATTATTTTCTTTGAAATGATTTATACATACCTGAGAAGCAAGAATTGTGGCGCCTTTTTGGATGAACAAAGTGAAATGGCTGGTGAGGTTGAAACTTCCGGTGAGCCATTTTCCCTGCGGGATAACGAGTTGGGATCCTCCGTCGGCCGCCCTCTGGCCAAGTTTGCTTATGGCCTCTCTAAATGCCTTTGTGTTCGATGTTTTTCCGTCGCCCACTGCACCGAAATCCGTTATTACGGCGGTGTGTTTTCGGCAGTTCAATGCCGAATATTCAACTCCTGCGGTTGCCAAGTTTCCAGGCCGCCCGGATTCTGTCGCCGGGAAACCGCTTACGGCCAAAACCACTACAAGTGCGCTGAACACTGTCCTTGTCCTAATCATCTGCCAAAGATGAAAGCATGTATGTTAGATTATAACGTGTTGAATTACGCTCATGACTCGAAAGAAGATTAAAAAAAAAACATGCATAAAAATATGGTTAATTACACGATAATGTCGGAACCACATAAAAATATGCGTTCTTTAGTCTTTCTTGGCGATAATTAACTCTCGTCAAGAAAACAAAACAACGTTGAAACATACGCATGCATGCATGCATGCATGTAGATTTTGTTTTTATCGATCAAAAGAAAGGTGAGGAAAAGTATAATCGAAAGAAAGACATGCATACACTTTTTTTTTTTTGTTAAAAGATATGCATACAATTGATCGTATGATTCCAAACTATAAATTCTGTCAATTGAAAGCGTTTCAATTATTTGAATTTGGGGAAATTCTTCTCTCCCATTCAACAAAAAAAAAATTAAAAAAAAAAGTAAAATTTCGATTACCGTAAAATTCTTTCCCCCTTATAGTTTTCACAAAGAGAGAACAATTAAGGAAAAAAATAAAAACGAATTCAAAGGGATTGCAAAAAAAAAAAAAAAGTAATTCAAACCTTAATCTTCCAAGAAGTCAATTTAATTAATTAATCCTCAATCCTCTGAAATTAATTTATACTACCTGAACGGATAATGCATTCAACGCATGGGTTCTTAATTTACATAATTGACAACTTCTCAGCCTCCAATTTTTTTGAAATATTTTCAAAGTTTGTTGAAACGTTTTTCTTATTAAGGTTGATCCGATCTTTAATGGCCAGCATTAGATTTACAACCTTTCCGTTTACTGAATGTAACTAAAACAGAGTTTAATTTCTTTTACTAATTAAAGGATAATGAGATTACATACAAGAATAATAACCCCAAAGTCAAGGCTTCGATTTTTTTTTTTTGTCTGTCCATGGATTAGATTATCCCCTTGACACGTACGGACTTATAAATCTGTTTTTTTTTACATAGGATTGAAACAAAAGTATACATAGTTTCTATTCCATTGACTCATATAATATCTGTTCGTGGACCGGCTACTCATATCAAATCGAGTACAGAAAAACTCGTGGCATGAATTATTTGTTTTAGCCCGGGTAGTCATTTCGGGTTTCAATTTATATTCGGGTTCGGTTATTTCGGGTATAAAAAAATATAACCATTCGGTTTTTATATAAATTTCGATTCGATTTGAATTCGTTTTTTTGTTGTAAAAAATTGTTTTTTAAAAAAAAATCTCTTGATTTTTTCGGTTATTTTTTTAATCGGTCCAATTCGATTCGATTTCAGTTTTTTCGTGTTTAGAAAATAATAACAATTCAGTTTTTATTTCAGATTCAATTCGATTACGGTTATATTTTAACGTTTAGGTTAATCAGTTAATAACAAAAATGACCACTCTAATTTTAGCGCATGATAAAAATCTATAATAGATTGAAGCAAAGGTCCAAATATCTGTATTTTGTTAAAAAAAAAAGTGCACAAGAGCCTTAAACTCAAAACAAAATGATAGAATGCACTAAGCATCCAGAAATTATTATATAGCAAAATGAATTCAAATATGAAAAAAAAAGTGAATTGGGCCATCTTTTACAATCTACATTGGTGAAGATATAGTAGTAAGAACAATCAATTGGGGTTTTATAAAAAATACCCCTATTATGCTACAAAGACTTCACAGCATACCCCTACAAAAATTAAAAAAAAACTACTTCAAAACATACCTTTATAATTATGTTATTCCCAAAATACCCATTGGTGTGGGTCCCAATGACAGAAACATTAATGAGAAGAGAGAGAGAAAAGCAGTTTTCGATTTCTTAGGAAAAAATTTAAATATTTTAAAATTTTTAAAACTCCCTCCATCACAAAAAAATAAATATTTTCGCGTGAATTTTAAAAATTTTCGATGTGACCAGTGTGACTAGTGTGACCAAGTGACTAGTGTGACCAATATGACTAGTGTGACCAAAACTAAAATTTGAACGGTGTGACCAGTGTGACCAATGTGACTAGTGTGACCAGTGTGACCAATGTAACTAGTGTGACCAGTGTGACCAATATGACTAGTGTGACCAAAACTAAATTTTGAACGGTGTGACTAGGGTGACCAGTGTGACCAAAATTAAATTTTAAACGGTGTAACCAATGTGACGTACCTTTGTTTCCGTTGTCAATCTGTTCCATTATCGTTCCGAACATTTATTTGAAATTAAATATGTACCTCTTGCATATTCTTCGACAGATTTGCTTTACATCTATCTCATTTTCATAAAAAAAAACCACACGATTCACTCTAACAATCATAAAACTCAAACCCAAAACACAAAATTTATGCATCGAACCAATCTCTTGTATTAATGAACTTACCTTCAATTCTTGTCATTTGTTCTGTCTTAGATCGACTCAAAAAGAAGATATGAGGTCGTCGGTCAAGATATGCTCAACGAAATAACCATTTTTCGTTTGTTTTTCTATGTATAAAAATGAAATGAGAAGGGAGAAAATGGAAGAGTTGAGAGAAAAATAAGAGTGGAGAGAAAAAGTTAAGAAAGAAATGAAGAGTTGTCAAAGAATGAAAACGAGAGAGATGAATTCAAAATGAAGAGAGGAATATCACGTTACTTTTGTGAGAGAGTTATTTATGTCTTTTGTTCCTTTTATTTTTTTTTTCTAAAATTTTAGGGTTTTGAAGGGTATACAATAAAATCTTTATAGCAAAGTAAGGATATTTTTGCTATATTACCCAATTAATGGCTCTCTAATATCCGTGATTTCATAAATATCTTATTTTGTCTTCTTCACTACTCATGAATCAAAGAAAAAACAAATAACTTTGGAAGACGAAAATATAAAATATAAAAAAAAAACAATTACTAAGCAGATCTGTCCCTTTCCCTTACACAACACAATACGTCACTTGTCTCTCATCCTTCGCAATTAAAGCCACCACAAGTTTCCACTAACCCCACTTCTCTCTCTCTCTCTCTCTCTCATCTTCCTCTCCAGAGACTCTGTGAAGGAAAGAAATGGCGCAGGTATTTTAATTTCGATAGTAATTTCTTTTCGTTTTTAATTATATTTTTTTTTACATATATATATATGTGCGTGTTTTGTTTTTCAGAAAGTTGTTTTGAAAGTCTTAACCATGACCGATGACAAGACCAAACAGAAAGCCATCGAAGCTGCTGCCGATATCTTCGGTATTTGCTATTTTGTTTTCTTTTTCTCAGTTTATATTCCTATACTGTGTTTTTTTTTTCTGGATCTGTTTTCAAGATGGAATTACATACATTTTTTCTTTTGGTTTATCTGATTTTTGTTACTTTACTATTTTGATTTTATTTAAATCAATTAATCAAACAGGTAATGTTATTGCATGACTCGAAATTGTCCGACATTTAGTTCGAATTTAGATTGGATGTTCTGGTCAGAATTTGAGAATACCAAGGATGATGATTACTTGATGATCTCGATGCGTTTTTTTTTTTGCCCTTTTCAAATTATTAAAAAAAAACATTGCTCTATCATCTATGTTGGCAGCCGTTTTTTCCCCAATGTGGTATTTCTTCTTACATTTGGTAAACTATTACAAAGCGCATGTAAAATACTCCCTTTTCTAATAAATTATGCCATAAGATTCATTTAGAATCTTGGGTCCTAAATAGTTCGTAACACTAGATACCATTGTTTTGCTCTTTCTTTTAACATAATCTATTCAAGACGCTGCGGTATTTTATGAAAATAGATGCTTAAACCAATAAGCACATGGTTTAATTTTAAATTATAAGTTTATAGAACGTCCAATGCAAGATCATTGCTTCGTGGGCCATTAGGATGACATTGAGCACATGGGTTTTGGGATATGCATTGTTGCGCTAAGGGAGCTGTAGATTTGATTTCCATGAAATAATAATGATAATCATTTCCATAGGAATCGAATTTTATACACTTTAATCTGATGACGTGGAAAACAGGAGTGGATTCCATAGCGGCGGATATGAAGGAGCAGAAATTAACGGTGGTAGGTCAAATGGATACAGTTGCTGTGGTGAAAAAGTTGAAGAAGGTCGGTAAAATTGACCTAATATCGGTCGGACCGGCCAAAGAAGACAAGGCTGAAGACAAGAAAGAGGACAAGAAAGAAGAAAAAAAGGAAGAGACTAAGGCGGAAGAGAAGAAATAATTAATATAATAAAACATTAATTAATTTCATATTTTTCATGCTTGGTTGGAAATTAATGTTGTATCTTGGAATAACTTCAAGATGTAATTTCTTCTATATCGTATATTAGTTTGCATTTTTTTTTTTGTTAACCGGATATTCTGGACCGAGACTCAGACTAATCCCGGAGTTGGGAGCCAACTATGTGGTTTGGAATATACGTTATCTCCCCAAATTTGAGATTCGAATTCGGAGCGGAACAAACGTTACGCGTCCCATTTCACCGGTTAAACTATCCAAGTTTGGAATGTTGTCATTTTAATTTTGCAATTGAGTTTTCTATTGTATAAATTTATAGGAATAATAATTCGAGGAAATATATCGCAAGTAATTTGTATGTTTTCTATATCAAGAGAGATGAGCCGTGCAAGTTTGATACATCAAAATCATATTATTTTTTATTTTCATGTAAACAAAAACAATATCTATGTTTTCGTGTATTACAAATGCAAGAATGACAATTGACAAATACTTGGCGTATTTTGCTACTATTCTTACATCTTGGACTAAAAACTAAGATTAAAAAAATATATATATATGAAATCAAGAAACAGGAGCTTATGTGAATGACTCACCACCCACCACGATTCCGTTCGCCATACGAAATCGGAGAATGCAGGATTTTATTGGTAAAACAATCTTTTAAATAAAATTATATACATGTTTGGATCCACCATATATATATATACATGCCAAATCAAACCGATCGACCGCTGTTTAGTTTGGTTTGGTTGAACTAAAACTGCCCGACATCTATACTTGCAAAAACCATTCGTTCGGTTTTGTCTCTTGTTTCAGACGTTAATCCTTAATTGGCTAAGGGGGTCAAACGGGCTGCTGACCCACACTCGATCCGAGGATTTCGGGTTTGGGTTCAGACCAATCCGAATTTTTTGGATATATAGAACCAAATCCGAAATCCGCCTCTATAGAATTCGGATTGGATTGACTTGTTCAATTCTTTACTTGCATGTATTTTTTAAAAATTAATATATATATAAATTGGGCTTTTAAACGAACCCGAAACGAGATATGAAACCGAACCAAATTTTTTTTCTTTTAGATTTACAAATTTAGATTCGCAGTTAGATATTTTTTTGGATGGTTCACACCGAACTTCGAGTTAGAATTGACATCCTATTATTGGCTTTTTTACAATTTTCTTAACCTCTTTAGATGTTTTGTAGCTATTAATGCTTGAGAATATCAAGTACATAAATTCAAATAAACAAAATAAAAACGAAATAACCAAATAAAACAAATCCGTTACAAACCAAATCTAACTATATATAATCTTGGTTCAATTTGATATAGTTTCGATTATAATAATTAATGCAATTAATAGTATTAGGTTAATATACTTTATATATACATTAATATCCTATAATATTAACTATCCCAATCCAAATCAATTACCAATTATATTGAATCAAACTAAAATATATATAAAATTGATCGATAAATGGTATACCTTGTATTTATTTAATAAAACCAACGACTAAACATTTACCAATAAACCGGATTGATTACCAAATTCTTTACCTCCGCATTATTACTAAAAGGGTTCCATCTCCTTATATTAGATTATATATTTGGTTTTTGTGCTCGATTTAAATATTCAATAACATTTTAAAAAATTTAAATGTATTTTAAATATTTTAAAAATGAGGAAAAAGAAACAATTAAATAAATTATCTATGTATCTGTAGATAGGTAGGTATATAAACGGGCATATTTATATATTCTCGCAAACAAAGAAATTTGTATTCAATTATATCTATTTTTAATTCGAAATCAGTGATATGCAGATTCTATTATTTGATTTCAAGTTGTGGACCACATACCATGTAAAGAAACATAGATACAAACGTTATATTATAAATACATTTATTAATCCCTTTATGCCATAGTATCATTATTATCATTCCGAATTAAATAAATATATGCTGAGCTGGGATTTATGTAAATGAAACGTCACCTTTTTTTTTGTCGACAACTAAACTTATAACGTATATGCAATAACCGTAGAGTAGAAACAATTTTGAGAAATTGAGATTATTTCAGAAATAACATTACTTGAAATTATAAAGAGTTTCTTGTTTTGTAAAACGTAAATTAATTGCTGTCTTGTATTTGGTGGTACGGTCGACTTTTATCCGGTTTAATCAATTTTGCGTCAAAGGTTTTATTCATTTACATATGGATTTCGATAAAGCGTTCGGTTTACCATAACCATCTGTCTTATTTCCGAAATTGCCGGTACAAGATCCGGTTTGATATGTGAACAATGTCGTCGTGTCGAACCCAGAGAGAATCAGCCCACATTCTGTGGGTCCCACGCTTTTCCAAACAGGCCCCACACTTTTTAATTATAAAAGAAAATATTTAAGAAAAATTTTAATTGGCGTTTCGATTCTTGTCATGCAACTTCCCCAACCAAAGATTTCACGAATTAGAAAAAAACACGAGTGAGCTCTATCACAAAGATATCCTATTATTATTTCTCCCGAGTCAAAACTAGATTTTCATATATTGTTTATCTTATTAAATTTAATCCAACCTATATATCCAAACAACCCAGAAACCATCAGAAAGAAATCCGATTACAGGGCCGATGATGTCTTAAAATACAAATTCCTTGGAGAAATTGGATTAACGTGAACCAAAAAAAAGGAGAAGCTGAGTTTCGTAAAACTTAAGAAATAGGTGGGTTTCTGTGCAAATGCTCCTAAACAATGATGATTACGGATTGTGAAACCGATGATTAAATTGGATACCATACTAAACAGGAGGATAATAAAATAAAATAAAACAAAAATAAAAAAAAAGAAAAGAAAGGAAGTCATTTTCGGGCAACGAGGAACATAACATCACTACCAAACAATCCAGCTCAGTTTTCGTATCGTATCCATTTTCATCTCTCAAATCTCTCTCTCTCTCTCTCTCATAAATAATCGAATCTCTGAATCATTCTGCTACGAATCTTCTGATTCCGTCAGCCTTCGACATGGCCGAGGAAGAGCAGAAGAAGGTGACGGAGTCCGAAACCGGTTCCGACCCTAGAGCCGAACCGGAGAAGGCCGTTGCTCCGGCGGAGAAAGCTGTAGCTCCGCCGCCGGAGACTGAGGAGAAGCCCGACGACTCCAAAGCTCTTGTGCCGGTCAAAAGTAGCAACTTTTTGTCTTGATCATTGCTGATTTTCCTCTTTATCTGTTCAGCAGTAACATATATATTTATATATATGCATATATATAATTTGATACTATTGTTTTTCTTGCTCAGTGACTTTATTCACCAAATAATTTCAAACTTTTTTATTGAGTGATTTACAACGGTTAAAAGTTTTGGAATACAAATGAATATAATTTCATTTTAGTTTTCGGGATACTGCTAATTTTATTATTATGATAAATTTCCATCATTTTTTATTGTTCTAACTTTAAGTCTTGAACTGGTTAATTCAAGAATTTTGGGTCCACAGAAAAATCGATGATTAATATTTTGTTCTTAAGGTTTAATTTTTTCTTGATTTTTGGGGTAGAACAATATTGTTTTTTAAAATCAAATCTCTGTGTTCCAGAACCTGAGGAAGAGAAGAAAGAAGGCTCTTCCGTTGATCGAGGTAACAAATCATTTAATTATATTATCAATACATAATCAGGAAATAATATGATATTAGGTAAAAGGTTATTTTATTTCCTTCTAATTAGGTGTGTAAATATACACCACAATTTTTTTTAAGAAAAAAAAAGAAATATTACTGAATTGATATTGGATTAATATTCCGCGGGGAAACCAATGAATTCGGAATCTTTATATTCTTGTTATAGCAGAGAGTTAAATGAGACCATAGTTTATACGATAATAATCATAAAAGTTAGTAAGAGAAAGAGGGCCAATAAGAATTAGAACCAAGAAGTATATCCGGAGTTACTATATACATCCTATTAGATGATTTTCTAGAGAATTTTTTTATTTTGTTTTGTTTTTCCGATTAGGACTTAGTTAATTTTAGTGAAGTCATTTCCAATCAATTTTTAAATTTGAGTCCATCTTATTCAGTTTGGTTCGATTCGTTTTTATATTTTTGAACCGAAACGTCGTCAATCTATAATTTAAACACCAGATCCAATTTTTTATTTTTTTATTTTTTTGTTGTTTTAAATTGAAAGGTGCATTGGTTTATTTTCTGCTTAGGGGGGTAATTATTCTATTTTTTCTTTTTGTTTATGTTTGGTATGTGCTGTAATGTGATGTGAAGATGCTGTCCTGGCAAGAGTTGAGACGGAGAAGAGGATGTCTCTTATCAAAGCTTGGGAGGAAGCTGAGAAATCCAAAGTCGATAACAAGTGAGTTTTTGATTGAGAGGAGATTTTGCTTATATATATATATACATATATATATATATATATATATATATATAATTACCCTTTTCGTAACCATGTCTTGAATTATTTAAATAATTTGTTAGAGGGTACGATAAACATCATAAGGTGTATTGTTTAGATTTGATGTGAAGAGAAATTGTGGTATTATATGTTCAGGGCTCAGAAGAAGCTTTCTGCGATCGGGGCATGGGAAAACAGCAAGAAAGCGTCCGTCGAAGCTGACCTCAAGAAAATTGAGGTATTTGTTTTTATTACATATAAAACCCTAGGGGGTCTTTCTATGAATCCTTACAAGTTTGGGGTCTCTTCCGGGTTTGTTTTTCAAGGGTATTTATTTGCCATGTCGCTCTAGATTTTACGTAAATAGCTCACTTTTTTAACATCTTTCTGATTTTGCCCCTATTGTTTTGGGTTCGTATTGGCAAAAAACAAAATAGGAGCAGCTAGAGAAGCAGAAGGCGGAGTATGCGGAGAAGATGAAGAACAAGATAGCTGAAATCCAGAGGGAAGCCCAAGAGAAAAGAGCGATGATCGAAGCGAGGCGCGGCGAAGAAGTTCTCAAGGCCGAAGAACTCGCCGCCAAGTATGGTGCCACCGGGACGGCCCCGAAGAAGCTCTTTGGATGCTTCTGAACGACAAAAGAAATCCAAATATATATATATATATATATATTGATTTGATCTGTTATTTGATTTGGAAAGAACGTTTTCATTCAGTGGTTTAGTGTTGTGTCATTTGGGTTATATATGTCATTTAGGAAGTTATATGGTCATGGGCGAAACATTTTGTTATTTTTGGGTGTGAATTGTGAAATGCAGTTTGTCCTCTTGTCAAGGCGTAGACGTGTACATGAAACATATTATGACATGGGCGGTTGTTATACAAATGACGGTAGATCCACAAGCTATTTATTCTTTCGATATTGAACCCAAACTTTTAATTTTGAAGGATTTTGTCCTAATTACCTCATTCCCATCATGACATGGGTGGTTGCTATACATAGACAAATTTATTGCATAAAATGCATAATGTTTTCGTGTGAGATAATGGGAACTTGCATGTTTGTTGTAACTGTGAAATTTTAACAATATATATTATAATTTTGAAGAAAAATCAAAATATAGATTAGAGTTAAATAATAACAAAACAAATAAAATATATAATCCATGTGGTCATATAACTCTTTTTTTTAACCAGAAACGCTGATTTTCACTTAAAAATTTAACCAAAATAGCTAATTTTATTTAATAAAAAACAGATCTCATCTCAATTCCATTTGGTAAAATAGTGTGGTTGAGACTTGAGAGTTTGAAAATCAAATGTTCAAGATATTGTATATTTTGCAAGAATTGTAGCAATTGTTTTGTGCGAACTGATTTTTAGGTTATTCGCGATTTAGGAAAAATGTTTGAATTAAATATCTAATTATGGATTATGGTGGACAAAAAGATTTATATTTATTGTTTACAGAATACATATATATTAAGTTAACATCTATTAATTATAATTAGATAACTAATATTATCATTATTCTTAAAACAAAGATTTTATATATATATATATATATATACGGTGTGTGAACTTCTCAAATTATATATATAAAAAATTTCATCCGAATCAAAAGGATATGGAAAATCAACACTCTTGGAACTGCCTCAAAATTCTATCATATAAAACAAATTAAAATATTTTTAGACTTTAGAAACAAAATTCAGATATAGTATGGCTTCCTTTTGCCCACGTAAACCTGCAACACTCCATCCGATCCACCAGCCACTAACGTGCACTGGTCCACACCCGATTGCCTCCAGCACACGCTGCTCACGAACCGCTGTTCCAAACCGGTCATACCGGCCGGTTCGAACTCGTGAACCCAAACCGGCCGGCTCCACCTCCTGTCGTAAACGAACACCCTGTTGTTCTCGGATCCGCACCCGAACAGCCCGCCGTTTCTCCACACCGATAACCCCACGAAGTTCCTGCTGTTCACGTGCCCCTCGTAAGTGCGCTCCAAAATTCTATCATATAAAACAAATTAAAATATTTTTAGACTTTAGAAACAAAATTCAGATATAGTATGGCTTCCTTTTGCCCACGTAAACCTGCAACACTCCATCCGATCCACCAGCCACTAACGTGCACTGGTCCACACCCGATTGCCTCCAGCACACGCTGCTCACGAACCGCTGTTCCAAACCGGTCATACCGGCCGGTTCGAACTCGTGAACCCAAACCGGCCGGCTCCACCTCCTGTCGTAAACGAACACCCTGTTGTTCTCGGATCCGCACCCGAACAGCCCGCCGTTTCTCCACACCGATAACCCCACGAAGTTCCTGCTGTTCACGTGCCCCTCGTAAGTGCGCCCCACGCGCCCGCCTCCGCCGTCAATCTTCCACAGCTTCAGACAACCGTCCGTACCGGCGGTGACGACCGTATGTACGTCGAGGAACCTCACATACGACACCGTTTTGGCGTGCCCCTCGAGGGTCAGCGCCGGTTCGACGAGCTTCCTCACGTCGTATACGTACCCCCTCCGGTCAGCGCATCCGACGGCTATGGTGGCTCCGCCGGATGGCTCGAACTCCACGCAGCACACGGCGGAGCTCCGTCCGGGACGCACAATGGCGATAGAATTCTCCGGTCGTGAGCGCGGATCCCACACATGCACGGTCCCATCGTCGGAGCCCGACGCGCCGACCACCGACGCGCCGGCGAGGCGCGTGTAGTCAACGCTCCAGACCCTCCGGCCTCCGTGCTCGTCGCGCTCGAAAACCGGAGAGCGTTTCTCGAGGTCGTACTCCGTCACGACGCCGTCGTAGTCGCCGGAGCCGATGACCCGGCCGTCGGATCGGGGCCGCCACCGGAGGCTGCTCAGCTTCGCCGGTGTGCATATGTAGTACTCGCACGCGGCCGCGTCACCGTCACCAGAGATTTTGTGCGAGAGAGAATCCAGGCCATAGAATCGAATCTTTCTTGAGATTCCGCCGGTGGCGATGATTTTATCAGTGGGATCGAATTCGATGGCTCCGATAACGTCGGAGGCTGCGACAGAGGGGGAGGAGGAGGAAAGGACGGCGGAGAGAGAGAGATCCCATCCGCATCTGGGTTCTTCTTCCTCTTTTTCTTCTTCTTCTTGCCGTCGCTGTTTCTGTTCATGGCCATGTTCATTATTAGGGTTTATCCTTGGGTGAAGAGGATGATGATTTTTCATATGACGAAGAAATGAAGACTGTGTCAGGGGGTTCGGACCAATCGAATGCCAATCCCATTGCAAGAAAAATGAATAAAGAATAAAAAGATATATTCCGAGGCCTCTTTATTGTCGTATGAAAATTCCTTTGTTGGATCAGTAAAATGTGAGAGGCAGATTTATTACGTTCCAAGGAATTCAACTAATATGGAATTAATCATGAGACTTAACTATATAGTATATACAAAATACTGGTTAATTAACATTAGATTGGATGGTTATTTCCCAATCCATATTCGAGTGTCTACGTGCATTCTTTTCGATATTTTGAATGATGTAGTTGAATTTTGAAATTATAAAAAAATACTGGTTAATTAGGTTAGAATGGAAGCTACGTGAAATGTTTAGAGAAATCTACTTACAATGCAGTAAAGAATTCACTTGGTTGCCCATTTGTTCAAAATTAAGCAAAATCATGATTTTATATATGAATGCATATGAGTTCATTTGTAATTATTTATGGTATCATTTGCTATATATATATATACTAAATTTATTTTTTTGACATATAAAATCACGTGGTCATTTTTTAGATGAAAATATGTAGTATTAGATTTTGGTTAGATTTGGCAAAAAAAAAAAAAAAAAAAACATTGGATGAGACCGCTATAGAAGACACAGGCATGTTTTAACAACAAAACATGTAAATAGGATTGACAATTATTTGTAACGGGGATTTATGAATCAAAATAAAACTGACCTGTAACCGACTTTTGTGAATCTTGTGAAAATAAAATAGGCACGGAATTTGGTTATTTACAGATAATAGAAAAATCGAATTTTGTAGAAATTTCGTATATGAACCCTGTGAAAACTGATAGAAAATTCTTATTATCGAAAGTGAATTTATTCAAGATGTACGCTAATATACCCTTCGAGATGATATGAAGTTTGACAATTTAAAGTTGAAAAGTAGAGAAATAAAATTTTGAACGAGACGTTTTATATAATTTGATTGGAAAGATTTTGTGTCCAACGAAAATGAAAATCGAATGAAAAGTTTGACAACTTTTGTTTCGAGTGAAAATAAAATAAGATAAAAATTCGAATTTTTAGAAATTTTGTATCCAAATGAAACATTGGCATGCACTTGAATTTGGCGTATGGGGTAAATATTTTCAGTACGAAAACGTTCATTCATGCTATTTTTCACAAAATTTGGAGGAAAACGATAAAACTATATATTATAAATACTATATGATATAAATGCACCAACACTCCTCCCCGAGTTGGATATAGACAATGTAAAAACGTAGGGACAAGACAATATTTATATAATAAAAAAATCAATTAACTAATTTTTTAAATAAAAAAGTGGGAGAGAGAAACGGTGGATGGTTATATGCCTCAGAAACAATATTCCAAAGACATTTTGTGGGACACGAACTCAGATGTAAGACGTGGATTATGTTCCACCTTTTGTCTCTGTCTCTTCGTTACTTCTGGACCTCAGGTATGAAATTTGTGGACCAATTTGATGGTTACATTGTTTAATTGAATAATTTGGATTCAGAATTTCCAATATTAATATTTCAGCCCTAAAACCATTAATTGTAAATTACAATCAATCAAAGACGACCACACATTTAAATATCATCAAAATTAGAGAGAATGACCATGAAATTGATTATATATATATATATATATATATTTATGTTTTATTATATTTGCAAAACTGGAAACATACCAAACCATCATGCACATTATTGTGAATTTGATAAAAGTGTAAAATCACATAATATTCATGTATTTAAATCCCATCACAAAGTTATACACATTGTTACAGAAATTTATGTGTTTCTAGATATACATTTTTTTTACGTGCATTATTAAGTAGAAATTTTCATAGACAATATATCCTGATTGGCTGCATCTATAGTGATGTTTATATGCATCATCATCATCATCATCAATCAGCATCTGGGGTTCAGAAAATATCTTTCCTGATACTATCCAGAAACATTCTAAGCTCTCTGGCTTTAATGCAATGTTCTTCATCAGCCGGGGAAGTCTCATCGGTCTCCGAATCACTCAGCTCGATCACTGTCGCAAGCTGTTCTCGGCGGCCATTGCCTTCTTGGTAACGTCTCGAGACACTGCAAGGGCGGGCTTCAGGACAAGGGCTTATCAGGTCAATGACTTCAGTTTCAGAGTAAGAAGAACAGGAACTCGAATGAACAGCAAATCTTTTGGTCCAAGCATTGCTATCTTCTCTTGCAGGCGAATCCACGAGAAGCAAGTTATGTCTTGCAGGTTTTTCTTGCTCTTGCTCTGCTGCTTCTGCATTGCTTGTGGTCATAACGGAAGATGTATCAAGAACAAGGTTTTGGAGCTCGAGGCTGAGTTCTGCAACAATGGGAGATGTGGGCTGGTCGGTTTTCGTATGTCTCGATTTCGGACGGTTCTGTTTCGGTTTCTGCTTCTTTGTTGCTTTTCGCTCCTTGAACTCCATGATCTTGTCTGGACAAGCCCTGAAGACAAAAAAAAAAAAGTATGAGAGAATTGACTGAGTTCAGATCACCCATTGCAAACAGGAATTAAAAATCAATCATGTTACAATTTGAGCAACCCGAAAATCCAAACCAGAACCGAAACAAGAATTTCAGTGAACTCAACCAAAACTGAACCGAACCTGGTTTGGATTTTAGTAACAAAAATAGGGAGGAGTTTGGTATTCCATAACACCAAAAGCAATCTAGTTGTATTCTACTGCAAATATGAAACCACAGTTTGAAAAGCTAGAATGTTGCATTCCTCACATTCATGAAAGAGATTGCTGAAATGTTAGAAAACTACCTTTTCAGGCACCATTTCAGTTCTTTAATCCATTAAGGGTTATAGGATTTTGGCCTTACACATTGGAGAACATGCGTTTGATCAGCGATCAATAGCTAGGTGTTTTACATGGGAAAGATTTAACCAATGTTATTCCCATAATTAGATCAATAAACAGATGACATAGAGATTTTCATCATTGTTCATTACCTTTCTACAAGATCTGCAGGAACAATGGAGGTCTCAAGCCCATCTAGATCCTTCCACGAGACTTCATAACATTCTTGCCCTTGTACTTTCCGGGGCTTGATGATTTCAGATATCGGGCACTTCACTGGTATCTGCACTTGCAGTTGCAAACCAGTTAAGTCTGTCTGATCAACCGATTTTTGTCAAACCATGAACCATATAAAAATTCAGTTATCACTACTCAGATGAGGAAGTTTTGAACAAAAATAACATGGAACTAACGATTCAAAAGACCCAGGCATAATATTGTACGAACCATACGTCTTTGATGAACTTGTAAGCATATAAGATCATTGTAAATACCTAAAATTGTGTTACCAAGGCGAAGACTTGAAAATCCGCCAGGCCATGCCGCCATGGCGGCACCATAACAACACTGAGTAAAACCAAACTGATATCCCATGCTAGCCTCTGAACTTGGTTCTGCTTTTTTCAGTTTTCTCAAGTTTTCAAGATAAACTTTTTCACCCTACTAATGAATCTATTAAAAACACACAGGAAACGGAACAATAGAAACGCACAAAATAAGCAGACAGGGAAAGAAAAGTACCTTATCAAGTGGAAGGTTAAATTCGAGACCAGTTGAACAGGATTGCAGAATTGCAAATCTTCTCAGCTTTCTTTCGGCTATTTTGGGAAGAATATATTCATCTATACCAAAGTAGAAAATGCAGTTGGTGCATTTGAGATCATTTCCAGATACAGCAAGATAGAGTTTTACTTGAGAAAAATCTTAAGCCAACATTTAGAGTAGAGGGTACACAGATGGTTGTGCTCAATGTTCGCAGATGTAACCCGTAAAGAACGAGATGAGTGAGGATTCAATGTACTACCTGTTTTCTCAGGAGGCCACTCAAAGAACTGGTAGCATATCTCATGGAGCTTGGTGCGCTGGAAAGAGT